AATCTGTAAAATAAAACTTGAAACTCTATTAAGGAGAAAATATTATCTGCTAGTATGTGGTTTCCTACTATTCCTCCCTTGTTTCCCTTGCTAAACATTGTGACACAGAGACATCATATTAGGGTTTGACATAGGACGCACTACAGTACTTCAAGATGCACTTTTCTCCTCACAGAATATTAAACACAGAAGACAGCTCAAAAGGTGGGAGAAGGAAAAATATGTATATATGCACAGTGACTGGAGAAGATAGCAAGGGGCAGTATACAGAACCATCTGAATTGTATAGGAAAGGAAGAGGAGGGAAAAGAAATCCAGGTAATGTAACATAGCTTTGTGAAGCTCTAAGAAATAATTTTCCTATTCACACCCAGTACTTACTTCTGATCAATTGAATTGCATCTTGAATCCACCAGAGAAGGACAGGTAGATGAAGGAGTGAGGGTAGCACTGCTGAAACTGGACACTGATGGGTCTCGCCCAATTGGAGAAATATCAGACAGCTACAAGGACAAACATATGCAAAACATTATAGAGGAGTTTCTTGTAGCTGGTGTTCAGTCCCAGTTAGAACAGGGCACTCAAGGCAAGCATGCTTAAGACTTAACAGAGAAGCATTTCCATCAGCCATTTTCCTCTTCAGTACTAAGATTTTGCATAAATCCCTGTCCGGGCTAATGAAAACAAAATGACACTCTTATAGACCCGGTTTGTTCATGTCCTACACTTCTGATTTGCACCCTGATTGCCTAAGTAGAATGTATTAGTTTACTTGTTTTGCTACAGAATGGTGTCTGTATCTATAGTCACTATTCAAGACTGATCTTTTGGATATTTTTTTCCCTTAAGCTTTTGCATAGGAAAAGTGAACAATCGGGTAATAAAAAGCACCTCCAGCCTGGTGATAAACTAAATGCCATGCTGTGGCCAGAGATCACACTGTTTCCAATGCCTTCAACAGTTTTTGGAACCTGAACAGAACAGACAAGTTCTTCCAACAGACTGAACTTGAAGAAAATTAAGACAAAGTGTTTTGTCTGATAATAGCAACAACAGATTGCCCAAATTCAAACATATTTCTATTATATAGAGTAGGTAAGGAAGGACAAATGGTAGCTGTTACACGTTCAGGTGCTGAGGTCATGGAAGAAAAAAAATCTTTACCTTACAATCACTGATGCTGTTGTACACCTGGTTAAACTCACGATTGAAAGTGTGAGTAAGAAGTTGCAGACACTGAGGGAAAACAAACAAACAACACACACACACAAATACAAGTTAACATTTAGATTTTCAGAGAAATATAAGAGACCATTTGCGAAAACACATTTGGCAGCTCACTAGAGAATAAGCAAACTCTGAACTACCACTGAAAAGTCCAGCAATATAGAATTCAAGACTAATAAAGCTAAAAGAAATAAGTTTTACACAGACACAGAACAAAAATTACACTGGAAGTGACCTTTGGAGTCAGCAAGTTCCACCTTCTGCTGAAAGCAAGGCCAACCTGGTTGCCTTATTGAACTTTGAAAATCTCCAAGGATGGAAACTCTGCAGCATTTCCTGGCAACCTCTCCCAATATTTAACCTCCTCACTGTATCTCTTTGTCCTTTCATTTTTCACTTCTCAGAAGTCGATTGCCATCTTTACAACATGCTTGCCTTCTCCCCTCATGCCAACCCCTTGCTTTCCCAAAAGATGACTGCCATGTGATCCCTCCTTGACATTCTCTTTCCTTTTTGGTACAGAAATCCTGTTCCCCAGTTGCCTCAGCCTCACTACCTTTTATATACATACTGCAGTCCCTTCAGTCATCTAGGTGCTCCCCTCCTCCAGTTTAATCTCTCCTGTACGGGAAGACCCAGAACTGGGTACAGCTTCTGACATACGACCTCATGAATACAAAGAAGAGGGGAATAAGCAATTCCCTTGATAAAATTTAGAAGTTGCACTTACAGAACATCGAAGGAAAGGGAATAAGGTACAACCATAACAGCAGACACCTAATCATCTGCAGGAGTTCGCTGGAAGAAATTACAGCTACAGAGCATAAGAAAAATGAAACTTGTCCAGCCACTCCTCTCATAGGTCCTACCTTGGTGGCCAGCTCTTTCTCCCGATCCACGAGGCTCTCTATATCAGCTGAGTCATAGCCACTGCTTTCACTGGGGGTGACAGCACTCTCAAAAGTGGTGGTGGAAATCTGGGAGGAAATGCTGGTGGAGGTGCTGAGGGTTCCACTGCTCAGACTGGGAGACAACGACTCACTCAGGGACTTGGGGATGCTGTCACCAAGTTTTTCACGGAGCAGAAGGAAATGTCGTGTTTTTTCCACCTGAAAAAAAAAAAAATCAACATAGCCTGACCTAGGGTCTTCCTTATTTTCACAGACACCAAAATCTTTGTGTTCTCTTAGGATTCATACAAGTAAAAGTTTGTTACTGTAAAATAAAAAAGGGCTTAAAATGGCCCTAAAAGTGAATCTGCATTTGTAGAATTCAGTGAGATTCTGAGCTGAAGATTCTGTTCAGTGGTCAGCCATGCTCTTGTCTTCCCTATTGGAGAATTTATTTACATCTTGACTCTGAGAACAAACTTTCACTTGGAAACCTGTTCAGCTTAAAAGATCACAGAGAAGGGTGCACTAATGACAATCTCCAAAGTACTGCTGTGTTTTTTTTTTTTTTTAATTACTTTTTTTGTCTCTTCACTTACCTCATGCAGCAACTCCAATTTCTCCAGTTCCCACTGATGTTCTAGAATGAGGCTGTCACCGCGGGGTCTCCAGCCTGCCAGGTTCTCCTCTCCACGCACATAGGCCACAGAGGTATCTAGGACTTTCCTCCTTCTCCTCTGCATTCCTGAGCAGTCAAAAATAACAAAAGACATCAATAAAAAATTAACAACTAGCAACCTGCAAAGAACCTACATATCTGCTGTACAGCTGGAAATAAAGCAATTGTTTGATTAATGACAATCCTTTGCAAACCCAAGGAGGTTTAATTTGGTTCTGGTTTCTTACTTCATTACGCATTTTTCATTTACCTCCATATAATGGAAAATACTCCTGTTTAGTGTAAACCAAAATAAAAGCATCAGTTGCTAGGTCTTGGAGGAGGAAATGCACAGATAGTACGTGACTACACTCCTTCCAAGCTCTCACTGGATATGAGCAAAATCTAAAACCTGGTTCTCAGAAGTCTGAGAGAAATACCATTGCAAAACTAAATCCCAACTGTGTTAATTATGATGGGCAATGTATTATGCCCATTGAGTCTCTGGCCCAGGTACATGCTCAAGATACACTCTGATCAGAAAATGAAAAGAAGTTGCCAGTGAATCCTTGGTCCACCAATGGTGAGCACAGATGCAGATCAAAAGTCAAAGCCTACATAATTTGTCATGGAATAGAAATGTTCCATTGCTCTTGTGAAACACAAAGTGCTTCTCATAGACAGAGAAGTATT